CAATAAATGAATGCCACACTGGAGGCAATTGTTCGTCTATGCCAAGAAATTTGGAAGACAGCTACCTGGCCAACTGACTGGAAGAGATCCATTTATACCCATTCCAAATGTGATCCCACAGAATGTGGAAATTATCAAGCAATATCATTAATATCACACAAATGTAAAATCTTGTTCAAGATAATTCAAAAATGGTTGCAGTAGTGTATTGACAGATAACCTCCAGAAATGCAAGCTGGATTCAGAAGAAGATGTGGAATGAGGGATATCATTGCTGATGTCAGATGGATCTTGGCTGAAAGCAAAGATTACCAGAAAGATATTTACTTGTGTTTTATTGACTATTCAAAATCATTCAATTGTGTGGATCATAACAAAGTATAGATAACATTGAGAAGAATGGAAATTCCAGAACACTTGATTTTGCACATCAGGAACCTGTACATAGACTAGGAGGCTGTCATTTGAACAGAACAAGGGGATACTGCCTGGTTTAAAATCAGGAAGGGAGTGCGTCAGGGTTGTATCTTTCACCATACTTATTCAACCTGTATGGTAAGCAAATAATCCAAGAAGCTGGACTATATGAAGAAGAACATGGCATCAGGATTGGAGTAAGACTCATTAACAACCTGCGATACACAGATGACACAACTTTGTTTGCTGAAAGTGAGGATGACTTGAAGCACTTACCAGTGAAGATTAAAGACTTCAGGCTGCAGTATGGATTACATTTCAACATAAAATGAAAATCCTCAGAACTGGACCAATAAACAGCATCACAATAAATAGAGAAAAGACTGAAGTTGTTAAAGATTTCATATTACTTGGTTCCACAGTCAACACCAATGGAAGCAGTAGTCAAGACATCAGATGACATATTGCACTGGGCAAATCTACAAAAGACCTCTTTAAGTGTGAAGAGGAAAGATGTCTCCTTGAGGGCTAAGGTGAGCCTAACACAAGCCATGGTATTTTCAGTCACCTCATATGCATGTGAGAGCTGGACAGTGAACAAGGAAGACCAAAGTGGAGTTGATGCTTTTAAGTTGTGGTGTTGGCGAAGAATACTGAAAGTACCATGGACTGCCAAAAGAATGAACAAATCTGTCCTGGAAAAAGTGCAGCCAGAATGCTCCTTGGAGATGAGAATGGCCAAACTTCGTCTCACCTACTTTGGTCATGTTTTAAGAAGGGACCATTCTCTGGAGAAGGATCTCATGCTTGGTAAAGTGGAAGGTCAGTGAAGAAGAGGAAGGCCCTCAACAAGATGGACTGACACAGTGGCTGCAACAATGGGCTCAGGTATAGTAAGGACTGTGAGGCTGGCACAGGACTGGGCAGTGTTTTGTTGTGTTGCACATAGGGTTGCTATGAGTCAGAGCTGACTCAATGGCACCTAACAACAGCACATGTATATATACATATATATAGGGAGCTCTGGTAGCACAGTGCCTAAGGCACCTGACTGCTAATCAGAAGGCTGGCGGTTCAAACCCACCAGCCACTCCGCAGAAGGAAGATGGGGCAATATACTTCCGTAGTGATACTGCTTCGGAAACCCAAGGAGAGGTCACTATGAGTTGGGTCCGACTCGACGGCAGATAACAACAACAATAACATACATATATATATATATAAAACTTAAACTTACTGCCTTCAAGTCGGTTCTGACTCATAGTGACCACTCCTTGGTTTTCTGAGGTAGTATCTCTATGGAAGTAGATTGCCCAGTCTTCCTTCTGAGGAGTAGTGGGTTTGAATCAGCAGCTTTCTGGTTAGCAGTCATATGCCTTAGGCAGTGTGCCACCAGAGCTCCTGTAGACGCACACACACACATTTATATATAAAGAACCTTAATAGAAGGAGACAAATTCCATTAAAGAGACATGAATGTGTGGATAGGAAAAGCTCCTGATGGAGGTGAGTTTTTTTGGTGTGTTTTGGGTGAAAGTTTAGAGAGCAAATTCATTTTCCATACAGCAGTTCATACACATTTTGTCTCATGATATTGACTGCAATTCCCCACAATATAACAGCTCTTTCTACTTCCTCCCTGTAGTTGCCTGTTCCGTGTGTCCTTCCCTCCCATGCAGTCACCCTGGCCCCCAGCTGTCTCCTTGTGCAAACAATGCCCTTCTGTTCTCCCATACTGATTGCTCCAAGGAGTGTATCTCCGTGATGTAAGGTTCACCCCATGCGCCTGTTTATTATTTGGCTGAAGGGTAGCTAGGGGCCATTGTCTCAAGGATCTCACCAGGCTCTGTCAAACCAGCAAACCTCATCATTTTTTTTTTTTTTAATTTGGAGTTTTGTTCCACGTTGTTTTCCTACTCTATCCAAGATCTCCTATACCTAGCCTCCTCCGAGTGGTTGACAGTGGTAGCCGGGCACCATCTAGTTCTGGTTGGAGATGACATTTTATCTAGTGACTTGGTCCTTGAATAGCTATGGTCTTCATAGGTCCTGACTGGTCTCTAGAGGAGACCAACAGCAGCAAAAGAAAGTCCATGAAGCACCAGTGTTGTGTGGAGACAAACTAGTAACGCAAACCAGGACTAGGTTTGGGTAGAATAGTTAAAGTTGGAGAGGAAGGATGGGGCCATAGCACCAATCTTCTTAGAAGCCCTCCTGATGACTGTTTTGGAATTCTTTTGGGTCATACAATAAGACTGAGTTTTAAAAACCTAATATCCACATTTAATCTTTGATCACACGTTTTTGAACTAGGCCTCGGTTTATACAGCTTTTGGTTAGCAAAAATTAAACCCACCCTTCACAGATTTAAGATCTGCTAGCATAAAGGGAGCTCTAGTAGCATAGTGGCTAAGACACTTGCCTGCTAACCAGACGGCTGGCGGTTCAAACCCACCAGCCACTCCTCGGAAGGAAGGTTGGGCAATCCTACTTCCGTAGTGATACTGCCTCGGAAACCCAAGGAGGGGTCGCTATGAGTCAGGTTTGACTCGACGGCACATAACAACAACAACAACAGCATAAAGAACACTGAAAATAATCCTTTATATGTGGACTGTCACTTCTCTAGGAGGATGATATATTCATGTTTGACATGTCTGATTTCTGAGCCTGCTAGATAAACGAAGACCTTGTCCGCTGACAAGGTGTAGGAAGCAAACCACCACCGAGTGCGCCCCGCCTCAGGAGAGCCTCCCTAAATGACCGCTCCAAGAACAGAATGAGTCCCGCCTCCCCGAAAAAGAACTGTACTCGAGCGGCGGAAATGTATATAGAGCTCAACGAGGGCCTTGCTTTTTGCACGGGAAGAAACTGAGGACGTCTCGCCCAAGGGCCAAACAGAGTTAAGGGGCAAAGTCGGGAAGTTAAACTCAGATCTCAGTTTCTGGGCCACGGACTCTAGATTTCGCCTCCCTGGCTGGGAGACTGATGGAGCCCCCTTTTTCTTCACGTCTGCTAACTCACGCTAGAGGGTCTGTCAGTCAAGCGGCAGGCGGGACGAAGGCCACAGTGCTTCGTCCAAATCCGTAGAAAGATAACCAGCCCAACCGGAAGGAGGTGTGGGAAGGACGGGGATTGGACGCAGCTGTGGTAGAGCTTCCGGAAGGTGAGGGTTTTGTTTCCGAGGGGGAGGTCTTCGGAGTCTGACCCGGCAGCAGGCTGTGAGTTTTCGCTGGGTGCTGGCGCGCCGACGGCCGGGAGGGTATGCGGAGGTTTAGGAAGGGGTAGAACCGACCCCGGGCAGCTGTACCCGTGTGTTTTTGGGACACCTTTGGTTTCCTCAGCAAGTGTTTATCGAGGGAGTACTGAGGCCAGGCCCTCAGCAAGTGGTAGACTCGGTCCCTCCGCTAGATTGTAGTCTAGTAAGGATGTACAGTTGTCAAGCGCCAAGATTCATTACAGTTGCGATGAGGGCTTTGAAGGAGACCATATAATGTTTATTTAATAATAGTATCATTTCTGCCTAATTTCCAGATGTGAAATGACTATCTTTGGGTCAAGTGTGATGCTTTCTTTACATTTATTTTCTTAATATTTATGTCCATTATGAAAACCAAACTCAACTGCCGTCGAGTTGATTTCGACTCATAGCGACCCTTCCTTGGGTTTCGGAGGCGGTACCACTACAGAAGTAGATTGCCCAACCTTCCTTCCCAGGAGTGGCTGGTGGGTTTGAACCGCCTGCCGTCCGGTTAACAGTCAGGTGCCTTAGGCGCTATGCCACCAGAGCTCCTTATTTGTGTCCATAGCCTGCAGAAACAAAAATGAAATGGTGAGATCAGAAAGTTAAAGGCTAAGTGGGAGTGTGGTTTCATAAGTAGTAACCTGTGGTCCAAAAGATTCCGGTTCTGCTCCTGGATGTCTCCGGGGAAGCTGCCCTTAACCATGCTGCATAACCTGCTTAATCTGTACAACTAGGGGCCCAGCCAGCTCCCATGTCTCTTTTCCAAGAATGGTAAAGAACTCAGAGGGTAGGATTAGGAACACAACATCTCATGAGAGTACTAAATGTGCTTTTGGGATGGAAATTTTATAGTTTAATAGTTCTATACTTTTATTAAAGTGGTGCTGCCGTGCCTGAGGCATTTGACTGCTAACCAGAAGGTTGAAGGTTCAAACCCACAGCCATGCCAGGGAAGGAAGATGGGGCAATCTACTCTGTGAAGATTTACTACTGCCTTGGAAACCCAGTGGGTGTTACTATGAGTCGAAATCCACTCAGTGGCAGTGGGTTTGGTTTAATTTACTTGAATGTTGTTGTTGTTATGTGCCGTGTAGTTGGACCTGACTCATAGCAACCCCTCCTTGGGTTTCCGAGGCAGTATGCCTACGGAAGTAGATTGCCCAACCTTTCTTCCAAGGAGTGGCTGGTGGGTTTGAACCACCAGCCTTCTGGGTAGCAGTCAAGTGCCTTAGGCACTACGCTACCAGAGGAAGGATATTTGTTTGTTAGTTAAGTAAGTTGCAATGTTAACTTCTAAACAAAAGAAATGTATTGGTCTTTCTGATTTTGTTCAGTAGAATCCTGCTTATCTATGAAATGCATTTGACACATCAGCTGGACCTATTTCCCGAATGCCGGGTGACCCTTCTCTTATTTAAAGATGTAAAAAATGCTGGCGACTTGAGAAAAAAGGCCATGGAAGGCGCCATTGATGGTTCATTAATAAACCCTACAGTGGTAAGCACATAGTGTGAGTGACTGAGACATATGGAGCATTTAATAATATGTTAATTTTCTTGACGTTATATAACAATGCAACAACGCACTGTGGTCAAGTCGGATCTGACTCATAGCGACCCCTCCTTGGGTTTCCCAGGCAGTATCACTATGGCGGTGGATTGCCCAACCTTCCTTTTGAGGAGTGCCTGGTGGGTTTGAACCACCAGACTTCTAGTCAGCAGTCAAATGCCTTAGGCACTACTTCCCCAGAGCTCCTAGCTCTTGATGTTATAGCTTAACTTAAAATTCTATCATTTTCAAGTAAAAAGTTCTCATCAAAACTGTGGAGCAGATTTGGCTTACCTTAAATTTGACAGTGAATAGAAGCAAAAGCGCCAGGCAGGCCCTGCTGAAGGAAATAAGAAAGCTTGTGGTTCTGGCTCTGACATAATGGCTGATGCTCAAGTCTCCACCTTCTCATCTGTGGAATAAGGGTCTCGAACTGAAAAAAATATCTGTGAAGGAGGTCAAGTGTAGTAGTTAAGAGGACAGCTGTGGAATCATGTTGCAGGACTAATCCCATCTCTGCCACTTAATGAGACTTATAGAGTAAGCTGTAGCCAACCTTTATATAGTGCTTACAACATTCCTTGCATTGTTCTAAGTGCTTTACATATAATAACTCACTTAATCTTCACAATGACTCTGAAGTAATTACTATTATTACCTACTAAATCTCACAGATAAAATGCTAAGGAACTTGCCCGAGTTCCCTGTGTGGTAAACAGCAGAGCTAGACCACTGCTTGGTTTCCTTATCTATCACATGTGAATAATACCAATTTTGTAGGGTAGTTTTGAGAATTAAAGAAAATAATACAAGTAAAATGTTTATTATAAGGCCTTTCCCATAATATTAGCCCTCAATAAATGTTATTTTCAAATTTTTTTATTATTATATGTCCTCCTTGCAGCTTTAAAATTCTTGATTTCTTGAATCCTTAGGCCCTTGAGATAGTCACTTTGGAAATATACTGCAAAGGAATTGTGAAGCTAACACTGAAATTATCCTATGGTAGGGCATCCATCTTCGGAATGATTCAGATTCTTTAACGGTTTTTTTCCCCCCTCTTTGGTAGATTGTTGATCCATTTCAGATACTTGTAGCAGCAAACAAAGCAGTTCATCTCTACAAACTGGGAAGAATGAAGACAAGAACTTTATCTACTGAAATTATCTTCAACCTTTCTCCAAATAACAATGTAATAAGGAATTTACTTTTTTTCTGTTACCAAAACATGCTTTACTTAAGTCTTTGGTTTGAGATTAAATTCTTGTAAATCTTCTGTTAGTAATAAACCAAAATAACAGTGAAGACAGCTTGGACAGAGAGTCTGGGTTTAGCTCAGCCTCTTAGTAGACAAAGAAGCTTTGGAGTTTTTACATAGGAATAAACAAAAGCTTAGCTAAATTAAGTGAGGACCATTTTATCCTTCTAACTCATATAGGGTCAAGAAGACCCCTCAAGTGTTTTTGATTAAGAAGTTGTCAGAAGTCTAAATGATAAAACATTTGATTTGGAAATTTTATGTTATGTACAGCTCTTATTCTCCCTATAAATTCCTTGAGGGTAGAATCTATGTCTTTTCCATACAGCAGAAGACTGGTACCTATAAAATAGCTCTTAATACAATCACTCCCACAGCAAGTGCAAGCAGAAGTTTGTGGTTTGAGATCCAGATAGTAATAACCTTCTCAGTAAACCTTAATGAGCTAAAGACATTCCACACATGGCACATGAGAAGATGACTGAAATTTTGCTCAGGATGTTTTAATAGTACTGCCATTAATAATGACACAAAATCAGACCCACTGCCATCGAATCAATTCTGACTCATAGCAACCCTATAGGTCAGAGTAGAACTGCCCCTTAGGATTTCCAAGGCTATAAATCTTCACTGAAGCAGACTGCCACATCTTTTTCCTGCGGAGCAGCTGGTGGATTCAGACTTTTGGTTAGCAGCCAAGCACTTAAGCATTGTACCACCAGGGCTCCCAAAGAACAGCACAGCCCAGTTCTAATACCAAGAGAAAAATTAGGAAACCTGTCGCATGGTTTAAAATACAGATGCTTGAAAAGTTTATAAAATGCACTTAGCTGGGTTATAGAATTCCCAAGTACCTGGAATTAAATTTACCAGATAATTATTGTTCCTTTGAGATCATTTAAAATAGTTCTAGAAAGTATTCAACAAACATTTGTTGATTGTGTCCTTGTCCCAGTTACAGTTCTGGAGTAGAAGAAAGCTGTGTTCTTGAGGAGAGGCAGACATGCGAGATGGAAGTTAAAATGCACTAAGATAAATGATTTCATGGGCTAGTGATTCTGATCTATGGGAGCAGTGGTGAAGAATGATTCATTCTGTAGGAAGGAGGGGGCGGTGGGGAGTGACATTTGAACTGGACCTTGAAGGATGAGTTCACCAGCAAAGCAGAGGCAGAGGGCAAAGTGTAAGCACAGACAAAAAAAGTATGAGATTTGAGAGGATCCCACAACAGTTCAGTCTGCCTGGAAGGTGGGAAGGTGTGGCTGGAGAGTCACTTTGGGAGGTGTATTCGAGTGCCCTGCCAAGAAGTCTGGATTCTGCAAGAAATGAGGCATAGTGTTTAAGTGGAGTGCATCAGAGACAGAGGAATGGGTAGGTGTTGGCAATGGATTTTTGAAGGGAAAACAGGTAGGCCGAGAGCACAGTTTACTGTGAAAAATAAGAAGAAGATGACCAGAGAGGTGGCCTGGGACTAAAGAGGAGATGTTTCACATGGTTGAAATATTCAGGTGTTACCTTTTTTTTTTTCCTTAGATTTCAGAGGCTTTGAAAAAATTTGGTATCTCAGCAAATGACACTTCAATTCTAATTGTTTACATTGAAGAGGGAGAGAAACAAATAAATCAAGAACATCTAGTATCTCAAGTAGAAGGTCATCAGGTTTCTCTGGAAAATCTTCCCGAAATAACAAATATTACAGAAGTCAAAAAGGTTTGTAAAGGCAGTTGGAAGAGTGGGATGGATGAGGAATAATGCTGTTTCATTATAGATCATCAAAACTCCAAAACCAAACTCACTGCTGTTGAGTTGGATCCGACTTACAGCGACCCTTCCTTGGGTTTCTGAGACAGTATTACTATGGAAGTAGATTGCCCAACCTTCCTTCTGAGGAATGCCTGGTGGGTTTGAACCGCCAGCCTTGTGGTTAGCAGTCAAATGCGTTAGGCACTATGCTACCAGAGCTTCTCCTATATGAATAAACAAAAGCTGAGCTAAATTTAGTGAGGACAGTTTGATCCTTACAACCATGTAGGGTCAAGAAGACCCCTCAAGTGTTTTTGATTATAGATCACCAAGGCCCCAATTTTTAACCCCCCCCAAAAAAGGTTACCTGGAATGTAATTATAGATGCAAAGAACTGGAAGGTGTAGGTTTATATAAAATATAACTAGAAAGCTAGTTTACGAAACTATTCTTTAAGAATGAGTGGGTGGCTTTACATATCAAGCTTACATAGTGCATTTAAAATGTAAATTACAGTGTGAAGTTACTGTCTAGATGTGTTTAAGAAATTGGTATAAATTTGCTTTCTGTATTCAGTGTTATCACCATAACTGCAATTTAAAGGCAATTTTTTAACCTAAATGATGGCTTCCCATTTAATTTGCATATTTTAATCACATTTGTGATTTTATACCATTAACCCAATAACTGAACAATAAATAATTCCGCTTATATTTTTGTATAATGAAAAATTATTAATAGTGCACAAATACATCAATATGTCATAATTTGTTTTTTTTCCCACAGATATATAAGCTGTCTTCACAAGAAGAAAATATTGGGACTTTATTAGATGGTATCATTTGTAGAATGTCAACAAAAGATGTTTTATGAAATATCAGAAATATTAAAATTTTTAGCATTTTTTTAAAGAAACATTGAGTTTTCTTTTCTGATTATAAAATTAACATGCTTGTTGTAGAAAACTTTAAAATACACAGAATAGTATAAAGAAGGAAAACATCACCCCTAGTCTTACCTCTTTTAATATTTTGAAAGAGAAACCACTTATACTGTTGTTTGTCGTTGTCTTCTCTTTCCATTCAAGTACAAGCCTTTATTGAATGCCTACCATGATTTGGAGCTCTGGTGGTGTAGTGCCTAAGGCATTTGACTGCAAACTGGAACACTGGTGGTTCAAACCTACCAGCCACTCCTCTAAAGGAAGGTTGGGCAATCTACTTCCTAGTCATACCACCTCGGAAACCCAAGGAGGGGTTGCTATGCGTCGGGTCTGACTCCACAGCAGTGAGTTTGGGTTTTTGGTTTTACCATGTTTAGTGATCTTATTTCTTTCAGCTTATATCCTTATCTTTATTTCTGGCTACTCCAGCGTTCACCTTCCAACCCTCTCATATTTGTTTGATTCTGTGTGTTTTACATGCAAGAATTCATTTAATTCTTTTAACAACCTAATGTAGTAGATTCTATTAACATCCCCATTTTCCACATGAAGTAACTAAAAGATTACCAAAATACTTAAGTAACTTGCCCAAGGTCATCTAGCTAGTATGGAATCATATTTTATAAATGGTTTGATATTTTTTCTTTTCTTACTTTATCTTTTATTTTGATTGGGTCTTGTCAGATTAGGCTAGGTCAAAGGTCAGCAAACTTCTGTGAAGAACCAAGACAGTACATTTTTAGGTCTGTTGGCAATATAGTCATTGTATGGTAGATTTCAACCATTGAGCTTTTGGTTCGCAGCTGAGTGCTTTAACCACTGTGCCACCAGGGCTCCTTAAGAACAAGAACATTGACATGTAAGCGGAGGGTTTGCTTCACAGAGAATTTGCATGTAATGTGATTGGGAATCTCTTCAGATGTGAGGATAACTTCACATAATTTTGTCAAGATGTCAGTGACCATTTAAAAACTTTCAGGATTTAAGACCTTGAAGTATTCCTTTCTCTTTTATTTCTTCTTTCTCCTGAAGTATAACACTGTCATTTCCCTGGGACAACTAGAATAACCTTACCACCCAGGATTCTAAAAGAGATCATTTTAAAACATATTAATCTTGTGTTGTAAGCAATATGATGAAAATTAGGTTAGGGTTAGAATGTTAAGTTAGGGCTGGGGTGTTATGACAGAGTTAGCTCATATTAATCCAAAAAATATACAGTGAAATCAGTCTTTCCAGTACTGGGCACCACTTTTTGAGTTAGAGGATCATATAAGCACAGTCCCCACACTTTCTCCCTTTGTTTCCTAATTCACTAATCAATGGATTTCCTTCTTTGCTTTTTTTTTTTTTCTTATGAAAATATTCCAAATTCTTAAGTCGGAGATAAATTTTTATCTTGGATAATAAAGGTTCAAAGTCCAGAGCTGGACAATAGAGTTAAGATCTCCAAATATTTTTAAGTTAAAGGAAAAATACTTTAAGTGACAATACTAGAATTTGTATGTATTCCATCTTTGAAAGGACAAGTAAAAAATCCATAAAGAATTCTAAGCTATCAGAGTTGAGCTTTATGTGTATTTAATTTCATAAGTTATACTTCTGGGCTGTGGTTGTTTAGATGATATTATTTTTTTTGTTGCTGTTAGAATATACAGAGCAGAACAGACACTAATTCAACCATTTCTACATGTAGGACCATGTATTTTATCCCATTAATATATTAAAATGATGATGAGAAAAACTTGAAATCATATTTGTTTCCTTCATTTTTCTCAAGAAGTCCCCAGCCAAGTAAGGAACGCCTAAGAATGTTACCCCTTTCTCCTGCTTTTCCGACCTGCTACTATGAGTCGGGTTTGACTCGATGGCACATAACAACAACAACAACAACAACTCTGGGCGGAAGCAAGAATGTTTGGAAGCAACAATGGCCAGACTTCGTCTCACCTATTTTGGTCATGTTGTAAGAAGGGACCATTCCCTGGAGAAGGATGTCATGCTTGGTAGGGTGGAGGGTCGACGAAAGAGGGGGAGGCCTTCAACGAGATGGATTGACACGGTGGCTGCGATGATGGGCTCAAGTATAGCAGGGATTGTGGGGCTGGCGCAGGATCAGGCAGTGTTTCGTTCTGCTGTGCATGGTGTCGCTATGAGTCGGAAACGACTCAACGGCACTTAACAACAACAACGACAACAAGAATGTTACTAACCCACTGCCATTGAGTCGGATCCAACTCATAACAACCCCTCCTTGGGTTTTGGAGGCGGCATCACTATGGAAGTAGATTGCCCCATCTTCCTTCCGAGGAGTGGCTGGTGGGTTTGAACTGCCAGCCTTCTGGTTAGCAGTCAAATGCCTTAGGCACTATGCTACCAGAGTTACAGAGGGGAGTTACAGATTCAGTTCCCCAAAATATATGTTGAAAATTCTAACCCCTGTACTTGTGGGAGGGAAATCTGGTGGTGCAGTGGTTAAAGCATTTGGCTGCCAACCAAAAGGTTAGTGGTTCAAACCCACCAGCGGCTTCATGGGAGAAAAATAAGGCAGTCTGCTCTCATAAAGATTTACAGCTTTGGAAAGCTTATGGGAGTAGTTTTACTCTCTGTCCTATAGGGTCGCTATGAGTTGGAATAGACTGTGGGTTTGGTATTTTTCATAATTGTGCATGTAATCCCATTTGGGAATTCCTTGTTACGGAGGCCATCTCAGTGTAGGGTATGTTTTAAGTCAGTTACTTTGGAGATGGAAAAAGCAGATTAGGCACAGAGAAGGAAGCACAAATGGGGAAAGACTGATGCCATGTGGAGATCACTAAGGGACCAAGGAAGAGAAGCTGAAAGAGACAAAGATTTTCCCAGAGGGGACTGAGAGCCTTCCTCTAGAGCCATTGCCCTGAATTTGAACTTCTAGCCTCCTAATGGGGGCTCTGGTGGTGTAGTGCCTAAGGCATTTGACTGCTAACCAGAAGGCTGGTGGTTCAAACCCATCAGCCACTCCTCGGAAGGAAAATGGGGCAGTCTACTTCCGTAGGGATACCTGGGAAATCCAAGGAGGGGTTGCTATGAGTTGGGATTGACTTGATGGGAGTGAGTTTGTTTGTTTGCTTTTAAGTCTCCTAAATTGTGAGAAAATAAATTGGTTTGTTAAAGCCACCTACTTGTGGTATTTCTGTTATAGCAGTGTTAAGACGTGAGGTCAGAGTACCCTAATTTAAATTTTATTTGTTCTTCAAGGTTTAAAAAACCCAGTCTTTTAAAGGACAAAACTAGGAAGATAAAAATGTTGCAGAATTTTCATATGTGCTGTAGTCATGTTAGTATTGGATTTTCCAAAGAGAAAAAAAACATTGTCTACATCAAGAAAAACTTTAAAGTCCATCAAGTTTAGGTAGTGTTTTCTTATAATCTCTTTTGTAGCCAGGAACTGAGGAGTGCCTGGACAGCACCAATAGTTAACATGTCTGGCTGCTGATGAGAAGACTGGAGGTTCAGTCCACCCAGAGCTGCCTCTGAAGAAAGGTCTGATGATCTTCAAAAAAAAAACAGCCATTAATATCCCTATGAAGCACTTCTGCTGATGCACATAGAATCACCATGAGTTGGAGTCAACTCCACAGCGACTGGTATTAACCAAAAAACTCAACTGCTGTCAAGTCGATTACAACTTGTAGCAACCCTATAGGTCAAGGTTTAACTACCTCTTGGGGTTTCCAAGGCTGTAAATCTTTAAGGAAGCAGACTACCACATCTTTTACAAAGCAGCTGATGGGTTTGAACTACTGACTTTTTGTATAGTAGCTGAGTGCTTTAATCACTGGGCCACCAGGACTCCTTGGTAGGCATTAGCTAAGGAAGTCTTACACCTGTGACTTCAGATGTTCTATGGATACCTTGAAATTTGTTACAAACGTTTGTGCAATCCTGCCACCCAAAGTGTTTTTTCACTTTATATTCTCAAAGAGGTAAAGACACACAAAAGTCAATGTACTATGATAAAGGAACAGGTGCCATACTCATTCACTGCGGTTGAGTCGTTTTTTGGACTCCTAGTGACCTCTCCATGGGTTTCTGAGGTGGTATCTCTACGGAAGTAGATTGTCCAATCTTCCTATGCCACCAGAGTTCCCAAAATAGTCAATTTCGACTCATAGTGACCCCTCTTTGAGTTTCCGAGGTGGTGTCTGTACGGAAGTAGATTGCCCAGTCTTCCTTCCGAGGAGTGGCTGGTGGGCTTGAACCGCCAGCCTTCTGGTTAGCAGTCAAATGCCTAGACACTACACCACCAGAGCTCCCACAAGTGCCATAGGACTGAGGAATCAAGACAGAGATTGAACCCAGAATTTCAAGCTAACTGTTTATCCTGATGCTTGTTAATGATTCCTCCTTCTCTTTTTCCATATGCTTGTTCATAATACAGAGAAGGAAGAAAGAGGAACAGAGCACCTCTGCAGGATTTTTATTAGGGAAAGATGAAGCCCCTGAGAAGTGTTCTGTTCAAGAAAACTCTAGTGCCCAGTCCATCTCTTACTGATGGACACGTGACAGGTTAGGAGAAATTCAGGTCATGTTGTTTATACACAGGCAGCAGAGCTGAGGGGATGGCTCAGGGGGCCTAGCTGTTGCGAGTCCAGGTGCACCCTGCTAGTCAGGCCAGGGAGCCCAGGCAGCTCCTATCCAGGCACACACCAGGCTGCAGGAGCTGGAGCTGCAGGCGGTTGCGTGGAGGGTGTGAACCTCAGTCTAGCTCTGGCCCTTCCTCTACACAGAAGCCACAGGCCCAGGGCCGCCTGCCCCATGGCTGCAACGTGCAGAGGCGGCCCAGGTCAGCGCGTTCCCTTCTCCAGAGTGCCCTTGTCTGGTCGCACCAAGTGAATTGTCACACCTGGAATCCCACCAGCTTGTCCTGATGGTCGCCTTAGTTCTGCTCCTGTGGTCTTTCTCCTGCCTTGCTCTCTATGGGGTGAAGAGCATGTGTGTG